TTACCCTCGACGAGCTCGCGCACATGCATCACGCGATTTCTTCCACGTATTTTCCAGGGCAAGCATGGAGACAGTCCAGGGGCCCAATTCCCAGGATGACGCTGAGTTTGAGACGTATTGGATGGGAAGCAAAGAGTGTTACGGAGTGGGTGGATGATCGTGGCATCGAGTACTCGCTCCTGTAGACATCACCATCTCTCATCGAGCACATCATGTGTCAGGCAGTACAGCACGCTCATGAGCGTACTATGGCTAGCTTAGTCGCTTTACCTGCGCATGAGAATGGTAGTCAGGCACGTGTGCGCGTAGATATTGTACGCGCCATGACATGTAGATCTAAGCAATTTAGTGCACGCCAGAAGCATGCTATCACAAGTTGTTTTACGAAGGCAATGTTCACGAATGGTCGCCTCCGCGCACTAGAATCTGAGTCTGATGGCCTTTTGTCCTTTGTGCGCACACCAGGACAGCCTGCACCATAGGCCGTGGTGCCGTCGAGCCCAGGAGTGCGTGGAGGCCCGAGAGGCGGCGACTAGCGTGGAGATAATCGCGGAGGGTGCTCAGGCTGGGCGTGAAGATTTATTTTGGACTCGCCTCATTCTCCTGCGCCATGCGTGCTATGTTGCTCCTCCTACCGGCCAGCTGTATCCCACAGTGCAGACTGCGAATGGCGAGCCTCTCGTCGACTACTCGGTCTTGAGTGCCGCGTCGGATGTCGTCGTCGACGGTTCGTGTACTCGGAGTCCGATTCGACAGTTGTCGAGAGCCGCCTACGCAGGTTTTTTTTGTTTTTCTGATTGAAGGGCCAGCGGAAGTCATAGCTCGGTTTAAGGGCCCTGTGTGGCCGTCGCTACCCCAGGCTCCTCAGGCTGCGGAGCAGATGGCTATCATTGCTCCTGCTTTTGCAGTACGTGTGCATGTGCAGACGCATTCGGACTGTCTAGGAGTCTTCTGGCTCCACAATCAAAGTTCGGCCCAAGCGTTGACTGGACGATCGAAGCCTGCTGGCTTGAGGAGGGTTTTCTATGAGCTTGAAGGCGCTGAGTTTGTTGGACAGGCACATCACGCACCAGCGCACATAAGTTCTGAAGTTATTGACTCGCTCCCGCCAGCTGAACGTCGAATCGCACGTGCGAATGACATGGCCGTGGCCGTGGCCGTGGCCGTGGCCGTGGCCGTGGCCGTGGCCGTGGCCGTGGCCGATAGACTCGCTAAGCACGCTCTGGAAATGCACGCCCGGGAGAGCCCAGGGGACCTTGAGCAGCTTGATGCCCTGTTGGGCAAGGCCCGTGCCGTGGCCCGCGTGGTTGGGAGTGTTCTTCCTCTGTTCCCGTGTTCCCAGTTTCCTGAGAGACCCAAGGTCCCCAGGCCCCGTGAGGTAGGTGCGAGGAGATGGCACGCCTGGGCAGCAGTACTTGGTGCAGCAGGCTCCTTCATCTGTCATGATTGTCATGCGCGCGTCAAAGGAACATGTGCGGAAAAGCTTGACATGTCTGGTTGTCCTGGACGCTGAGGTAATTTTGCTTCCCGGAGGGACCATGAAAAGCTAGGGCACTCGCTGGTCTTTTCGAGACTGTCGAGCGGCCCGGGTTTGATTTTTTGCAGACGCCGTGGTGCATACAGCACGGAACGGCTCAGTCGCAAGTTGGAGCAGGTCTGTGTTGGACGGACATGCTCTGCTACTGCGAAGTGCAGGCTCGGACGTATGATGCGGGGCCTACACCCGCGATCCGACCGAGCACCAGGTGTTGTGCTCCATGTCTTAAGTGATGTGGACCGACTGCGGCTGCTCCAGACCCAGCAGCTGCCCCGTCGTGCTGTCTTCCTCTCCCACCCTCGGGGGGACGCCCCTGATGGGGGACTGCTCCCAGGGCTGGAGGCCATTCGAGCGAGGGTGGCCGCGAGGGAGCAAGCGAACTCTGGTGGTTAAACGGTTAATGTTCTACCCCATGCGGGGGGAAAAAAAAGGAACATCTGGGAGAGGAGTGGAGCAGAGAAGGGGAGGAAGGAAAAGGATCTGGACGCGGACGAGGACGCAGAGGAGGACGAGGAGGAAGAGGGAGAGGCAGAAGAAGAAGAAGAAGAATAAGAAGAAGATAATTCAGCGGTCTGGCAGTGCCGCGCCTGTTGGTCCCCTCTCGGGGGCCTTCTGAGGGCCTCTGGGGCTCGAGGGTCTGCGCTGGAAGCCTTCGGGCCGTCTCTGGGCGATCTTGAGGGCCTCTGGAGTCATCCTAGATGCTGTTGAGGCCGAAGGGGCGAGAATGCGGATACGATGCGCGTGCTTTCTCCTAGCATTGTTTGGGTTATCCTTGGGTCTGCCTGGAAACACGTGTGGAAGTTTCGGTAGTTGCGAGTCTGGAGCCCTTTGATGAGAGCACTTTCGAAGCCCATTATTGAGGATCCCATGGGCCTGAGCACAGTACACTCCGTGCCTGCAGCACCGGCTACGGGTACCCAGCTGTTTTCCGCACACTCCGCCATTGTGCCAGCGGATGAGCGCATGACACGCACTCCGGTTCAAGCTCGATGTGTTCGGGGGGGAGAAAGAGTGTCAGTGTCTCGCCGCCGCGAGGGCCCCCAGGGCCCCCTTAGCGTGCTGTTCCCTCGCTCTTCGTCCGAAACATGCGGCGTACGTCGACAGCACGACGCCGATGGGGCCCTGGGTCCCCCCCCCCGCGGCGGGTGTGTCGGGACTTCCGAGGCAGGCATCAATCCATGAGCACCACCCGGAGTATCGATCTTCGTGAGCCTCAGCGGGAGGAGGATGGTGATACATATGTAGATTTGCGCGCTAGACACCTGCATACGTATATGTCTGAATATATACATAGATGTATATCTGTATATACATATGTGTATATGCGTATGTATGTATGTATGTACAAGCGTGTGTATACACCATATATGCGTGTGTATGCATGTGTGTACATATATATATATATATATATGCATGTGGATCCTCGGAGGGGGGGAGGCAACAATCCACATCCACAGTCAGCCCACCTCCCCGGAGATCTATCCCCCCGGCGGCGGTTATGTAGAAGTCCCCGCCGCCTCGCAGAGCTGGCGTGGGTCTGAAAACGACTCCTCCGTGCCCGAAGGCTCGCTGTCCTCTGCCTTCCTCATCCCCCGCCCCTCTCTCCAGGCCCGCTGCGGGCCTTCCTGGGCGTAATGATTCTACTGAGCTCTCCCGACCAGGCTCGGTCGACGCGGCGGGCCTCAGGGTCGTCTTGGGGAGCTTTCATTGGCCGTCTTTGAGAAGGGTCGAACATGAACTGTTAGTTCAAATTCTTAACCGTGAAGAAAGTAAGGTTAGTGTAGTGTCACAGCGTAGTGTTGAAACCAACTGGCTATGACACTACGCTAATCGTAGCGTGGTGTCATAGCGTAGTGTTGAAGGCACCTGGGTGTGGCACTACGCTACGGTTAGCGTAGTGTCACAGCGTATTGTTGGGGACATCTGGGCGCGACACTACGCTATGACAGTACGCTACGGTTGGCGTAGTGTCATAGCGTAGTGTTGGGGACACTTGGGCGTGACACTACGCTATGACAGTACGCTACGGTCAGCGTAGTGTCATAGCGTAGTGTTGGAGACACCCGGGCGTGACACTACGCTATGACAGTACGCTACGGTTAGCGTAGTGTCATAGCGTAGTGTTTGAGGCACCTGGACGTGACACTACGCTTTGACACTACGCTACGGTTAGCGTAGTGTCATGGTGTAGTGTTGGGGGCACCTTGGCGTGACACGTAGTGTCATAGCGTAGTGTTTGGGGCACTTGGGCGTGACACTACGCTATGACACTACGATACGGGTGAGGCGGGGGAGAAGGAGTCGTTTTGTTTTCGTTTGCTTTTCCTTGGGGTTTTGCTTAACTCTGCTCCGTGAGAGAGGACACTACGAGACCGGTAGCGTAGTGTCATAGCTTGGTGTTGGGGGCACCTGGGCGTGACATTACGCTATGGCAGCACGCTACGGTGGAGGCGGGGGAGAAGGAATCGTTGTTGTTCGTTTGCTTTTCTTCGGGTGGTGCTTGACTCTGCTCCGTGAGAGAGGACACTGCGATACCGTTAGCGTAATGTCATAGCGTTTTGTTGGGGGCACCTGGGCGTGATACTACGCCATGACACTACGCTACGGTGGAGGCGGGGGAGACGCTTTGTTTGTTTCGTTTGCTTTTTCTTAGGGTTTTGCTTGGCTCTGCTCCATGAGAGAGGACACCGCGCTACCGGTAGCGTAGTGTCATAGCGTAGAGTTGGGGACACCTGGGCGTGACACTACGCTATGACACTACGCTACGGTTAGCGTTTCACAGCGTAGTGTTGGGGACACCTGGGCGTGACACTACGCTATGACACTACGCTATGACACTACGCTACAGTTAACGTGAAATTAGCGTAGTGTCATAGCGTAGTGTCGAATTTGACCAATACCTACTCTCGTCTTTGATATTCTTGGGCTATCGTGGGGCCCTCTTTGGGCCGCGTTGGGGCCGCCTTGCGGCCCTCCTAGGACCGTCATGAAGCTCTCTTGGGGGTTCTCGGTCGGTCTCTGGACCTCCTGGGGCCGTCTTGGGTCGGTAGGGTGGCTTCTTGTTCCCTGACGTTTTGCAGTGGCAACCTGCAGCCGAACGAATTCGGAAGCAAAAGCCATTTACGTTCATATTAGTTTCATCCTTGCGGCCTCGGGGACTCGGCTGCAGTCATATTCGAGCGTTTCTGGGGATTTGGAGGCCTGTTGAGTCACCTTTGGGAGCCCTTGCAGACTTTTGGGGCTCGTTGGCCGTGTTGGGCTGTTCTGGAATGGTGGTGTGGCCTTCTTTGAGCTATATCGGACCGTCCTGGAACCATCTGGAGAAGGGAATGGGCGACGGAGAGCAACATTGGGGGTGGGGGACCAACCTGAGTCTGCTCCCGGGGGTGGTCGGCCCTGGCATAAAATATCGAAACCCTGTCTGATACCGAAAAGGCGTCTAACACGCTCGAGCGTGCCGAAGGCGCGGTGGCGGATATACTGCAGTTGCATGCTGGGAGCCATGCCTTTCTGGGGGCGCGATGCTTTAAGCATCTATGTCTTCGCAGAGGGATCTTCAAGGAGCAGAGGGCTCGGGGCAGAGCATGTCGTCGGTCGGATTGAGGCGAACTTGCATTGTGTGCGAGGCGCCTCCACAGGGGCGACGCGAACACTGAAAGTGCATGCAATATCAGCACCATCGCGCGCGTGGTCTAACAACAGCCAACTGAAAACGTGGATTGCCCTAAGACCAAGGCGTTGGGCTTCTTGTAGGCCCTCGACTTGTTGACCTTGGATGATGAACATAACAAGACTGCACACACCCTCTGGAGACGTTTGCCCCCCCACGTAATTATTTTGCTTTGCGCAGCGGCACCTGCAGAAGAAGAACTGCCCTCCGCCCTGCTAGCCGCCCGGGGCTACGGTGAGGAGGGGGAGATGATTGCGCGGGAGGGACTGGAGTGGGGAGGAGAAGGAGGGCAGAGGGGGAGGAGAAGGAGGAGGAGGAGGAGGATGAGGAGGAAGGGGAGGAGGACAAGGGGGAGGAGGAGGAGGAGGAGGAGGAGGGGGAGGAGGAGGAGAGGAGGAGGAGGAGAAGGAGGAGGAGGAGGAGGAGGAGGAGGAGGAGGAGGAGGAGGGACGGTACATATAATCAGAGGCGAGGGAGATTTCAGCAGAGGGACGACGAGTGGGAGAGGCTGAGAGGAGGGGGCAGGATGAGAGGTGTGGATCAAAGTGCAGACTGTCCTTCTGATTGTCCGGCGATCGCCCGGACCATCGGGCCCGCCCGCCCCACCCTTCCCCCCTGGATAACCTGACCCTGTCGGTTGCGCATGTCCGCAAGGGGTACGCAGCTTTGGTGAGCGCGGGCATGCTTTGGGTTGCCCAGAGCGAGAAGGCCTCCCCTTCACAAGCCTGGAGTGTATCCCTATCCTTCTGTTTGGCATCACCGCACCTCGGTGCCGATCTTGAAGGCTTCCCTCAGTTTCTGAGGGCACATCCTGAGATTGTCATAGGGATAAGGATAAGCTGGAGGTTGGTCAGCTTCCAGACGACCAACATCTCTCAGCCACGCGCAGAGGGGGGCAGGGGGAGGGGGAGGGCTTCTTGGAGGCACCCGTGCTTCTTTGAACCCGCGGGCCTGATCTAATAATTGTAAGGGCTGCGCCTTCTACGAAGCAGCCTCCGTCTGAGAAGCCTTCCCCCCTCCCCCTACCCCTCCGTGCGCGCCGCCAAATGTCGGGCATGTGCCAAATGTGAGGAGATTTGTTTTGAGATTCGCGGGCGGACCAGGTTGCCACAATCGACCCAGCCCAACGCCAGAACAGGAGCAACGGCTTGGGAGAGAAGACTCGAAGGAGAAAGCACGGCTTGAACACAAGGTTTTCTCAGGTCTTTCTCCTCCCAAGTTTCCCAGACATCTGCGTTCCAATCTTTTCGATGCGTGGACCCACACAGGTCTGGACCACTTCCTCAGGGCCAATGTCTACACGCGTTGTTTTAATGGTCCCGGAGCCCGGGCCCCCGCATGCCGAAACAAGCCTCGGAGGGCAAAGTCGACCTGGCTCTAGAAGGCCACAAGCTGGGCCCTATGCCAAATACCGTCTTCGTTTTCTAGTCACGAGTGTCTGTAGGCATATTGGGTGTCGTGACGTATCTGGCATTTCCGGGGTGTATACGTCTGTAGACACCGCTGCCGTTGCTCTCGGCGCGGTAAGGGCAGATCGTCCACAGTATGCTATCGTTCTGGAGCATGCCCGACATGTTGTTCCAACCCATGCCCATCCCCATCCCCCATTGCCTCCCTGAGCGTCAGGGTGTGTGATGCGTCGCTGGCTCGCCAGGGCCTGCGGCAGGAGGTCTCGGGGCGCACCTTCCCGCGCGCAGCGGCACGGTGCAGGGAGCCTCCAGACGTCGACCGGGCGCAGAGCCCTGCCGCCCGCGCGCGCACGGGGGGGGAGGGCCCCTCGGGCGCACAGCGACCTGTGCAGCCTGCAGTCCTGCTGCGCAGCCTCGGCGCAGCAGGGCTCGCCCGTGCCTCTGCACCCTGCAGCCGGGCGCGCGGGACAGCCAGCCTGCGCCACGGGCTGGTCGCCCGGCGTGCAGAAAGCGGCGGACGCCGCCGTGCCCCTGGCCGCCCCCTCCGCACCGCGGCAGGGGTGGGCGCCCGAGCGCGCGCGCTCCCTCGCTCGTGCGCCTCGATCTCACGGCGTGGGCCCGCTCACCGCTGAGGCCTGGGCCCGTCGTGGGGGGCGAGCCGGAGCTGCGTGCCGTTGCATCCACCAGGGGGGCACGTGTGAACCCTCCCCCTTACCCCCCACGATTTCCGAGGGGGAGGGTGGGCTGCACTTCGTTCGGGAGCTCCCCAGCGGAGTGAACCCCAACCTCCCCCTCAGAAATCGTGAGGGGTAGGGGTAGGGTTCACATGTGGCCCCCTATCCACGGGGCGGTGTGGAGGGCCGTTGGGGAGTGTTCCACGCTGCGACAGGTTGGAGATTTGAGTAGTTCCGTGGTCCGCGAGACTCGGCTGTGAGATCGAGGTTCCTTTGGCCACGGTAGCTCATCCAATCGTCAAAGGTAAACTTGTTGCCATCCCTGTGTTGCCTGAGTCGTCCCAGCCCAGATTTGGGCCCGGTATTGGTTCGGGAGTCGACCATCAGTCGTGCTGAACCATTTTTGAAGTTTCTCACTACTGTGATGCCAAACGGAGATGAAGAAGCTTCTCATTACTGTGATGTGAAGCGGGGATGAAGAACTGCCCAGGGGTCCGTCACGCAGCGGCGCCTTTGGCGATGACTCCATTCGGTGCAAGGCCAGCTGCAGCGTGGGCGTCGTCGTCACTGCGATCACCCAGCTGCCTGCGGCAATCCCCGCCGCCCTGCCGGCCCTTCTGCTTTTTCCGCGGGTTTGGGGTCCCGCGGAGGGCCCGCAGCAATCTGCAGGAGTGGCGGAGAGCTCCCCAGGTCGGAAGCCCTCTGGACACCTATTGAAGTCCTTTGTTTCGCTCTCTCTTGCTTCCCTTTCCCCATCAGTTCCTCCTCCTCCTCCGTCTTTTCCTCCTCCTCCTCCTCCTCCTCCTCCTCCTTTTCCTTCCCCTCCTCCTACTCTCCCCCTCTCCTCTCCTCGTTCTCCTCCTCCTCCACCTCCCTCCCTCCCTCCCCCTTCCGCGTGCCTGTCGATGCCGCGTCCAGATTTTCGCATTCGCCGCTGGGGTTTCCCGCCATGGCTGCCCTGCTCTGCAGTCCCGACGTCCCCACGAGTGCTGCGTGACGCTCTCGAGCGCCTGCTTGGAGTTGTTTTTCCGTCTGTCCACCCTGCGCTGCGACGCCCTGCTGGCGTGCTGCTGCAGCGCGACTCGGGCGACGAAGCTAAGCAACTCATGGTCGAACGCTGTCTTCCTCGCCTCGTGGTCTGGCGCGGCCGAAGAGGTCGTGAAAGACCTGGGCTGCAGCTCGCTGCGCGAAGCCATGGAACGCTGGCCTGCCGCCGCGCACAAGCTGGACCAGACGAGGCAGGGCCTGGTCCAGCAGGGGCTGGGGCTGCTGCTGGCGGGCGGCGGGAAGCTGGCTGACTACCTGGCGCGCGAGCTCACGGAGGGCTTGGCTGTGGAGAAGGTGCAAACAACTCCGACATGCCACTGTCAGGAGGGAAAAAAACACAGACACAATTAATCGGCGATTCCCAGAAAATATGGGAAAATATGGGAAGTGGGGGGGGAAGACAGAAACCCAGAAAATATGGGAAAATATGGAGAATAGTTTTATTTGTATGTATTTATTTGTGTGTCCCAGGGCCCCTTCACAAACTCCGACATGCCACTGTGCGGGGGCAAGCTTGGGGTCGGGCGCGGCAGCCGTCCTTGGCGATCCCACCGAGACGCTCTGCGCGCTCGAAGCCGCGCACGTTGGGAGACGGCCACACGCCTCCGGCTACACCTCTTACCAGCCTGGAACATATTCTTATCCCTATGCTGGGCACCTCCTCATTACGATGCCAATCTTAGGGTTTCCCTTTATTTTTCGAAGGCGAATCCCTAAGATTGTCGTCGCCTTTTGGCGTGTCAATCGTAGGGATCGGGATACGTTCGAGGCTGGTAAGACTACCTGGCGCGCGAGCTCGAGGAGGGCTTGGCTGTGGAGAGGGTGCAACAAAAACTCCGACATGCCACTGTGCGGGGGCAAGCTTAAGGTCGGGCGCGGCAGCCGTCCTTGGCTATCCCACCGAGACGCCCTGCGCGCTCGAAGCCGCGCGCTGGGAGACGGCCACACGCCTCCGGCTACACCTCCGGAGGCCGGAGCGCGCCCGGAGCTAGCTCGCGGCGGCGACTGCCCGCTGCTGCCTGCGCAACGCCGGCGGCGAGGTCAGCGCGCATCCACTGGGCGTCCTCGGCTACCACGGCGCCACGTCCCAGAGCGGCGGAAGGGCGGTGCGCAGGCGCGACAGACTGGCCCACTTGGTTCGGCGGACTGGTGCGGCGTTGGAGGCATGAAAACCCGCTGTACGAGCAGCGCGTCCCGCTCTGGGACAGGCCGCGGCCGGGCCATGCTGGGGAGACGGGGCTTGCTCCGCAAGGCGCCGAGTGCCACGATGACGACGGCCGCCGCTGGCTCGACGTGTCTGCGCGGCATCCCACCACAAGGACTCCGGCGGAGCTGCGGGTCGCGGTGCGCCGCGACGGCGGGGCGATCCGGCGTGGGGAGCGAGACGAGCATGCTCGCGACCCCAGTGAGCGCCTCCACACAATCGTCCTCGAGGCGAGTGGGCGGCCCGGGGCCGAAGCGCGCCTCAGGCTGAAAGCGGAGGTGTGCCAACTGCCTGACGCCAGGACTGTCCGCGACGTCGCGCGCGCTGGCACGCCAGGCGCGCACCGCCGGGGGTTTGCGTTGAGGCGCTGGAGAGCGGCGCGCGACGGCATCAGAGCCTGCAGCTCCCCGCCGCCGCGGGCCCGCGCGAGCGCGCTGTGGAGGGCGTCGCGCGTCTGCGCCGGAGGCTGCCGCTCTGGGCGCCGGTGGGCGCGGCGCCGCCGCGCGCCGGCACCTGTGCCGCCCGGCAGGCCCGGCGCGGAGCCGGGGGCCGCGGTCGGCGGGCTGGGCCGGGCGCGCCGTGGCGACGTAGGGGCGCCGGGGCCCTGATCGGCGCGGCGTCTGCCAGGGCTCGGAGGGCGGCTGTGAGCGGGCGCCGCGCCGCCGGGGCGTCGGCTCGGAGGCGTGCGACTCCCGCCTTCGGTCGTCGCCGTCCCGTCGCGCCCCCGTTCGTCGTCCTCGCATCCGCGCCTGCCTGTCATGTGAGCGTTCGTGCACTTGTAATTATCGCATGGGAGGTCCCCTGTGGCGCGCGGGCTCGCCTTGCGCATCCGCTCCGCGGCTGCGGGGCCGCGACGCATGGGCCAGCTCGCCGCCCAGGGTTGCCCTTCGCACGTGTAGCTTCGCGTCTTTATTGTTATGCGCTGACGCGTGCGTGCGCTTGTGTAGCATGCCCCCTCCCTCCCTGGTGCGTGGAGGCCACCCTATGCCTCCATTCCGCGGCTGAGGAGCCGTGGCAGTTGGGCGCGCTCGCAGTCCAGGGATAGCCCCGTGTACGTCGTTGTTGTTGGTGTGCTTTTGTAGCATGTCTTGCCTTCGCGTCGGACCTTGCGCCGGCCGATCCTTTGTGCCCGCGTCACCAGCGAGGCGCCCCGCGGGTTGTGTCTTCCAGTTGCGGCGCGTTGCGCGTCGGATCTCTTACACATCTTCTCTCCTTCTCCTCTTCCCCCCTCTCTCGTGTTTCCTTTCAGCATGCCATTGCTGGTCGCTTCCGCCACGGTCGTGCACTGTCGTTCCCGCGGCGTTCGGGATTTGCGTTTCATTGATGACGCGCGCCGCGTCGTCCATTGAGAGGTTTTTCCGGTCAGCGGTTGGTCCCCAGCTCTTCACCATATTACACGCTGCGCCCTGCCGAGTGGGTGTGGAATGTGGCCGTGTGTGCCTTGGTTTTCGCCCGCCCTGCCCGGCCTGCTTAATGCTTCCCTTTTCTCCTCTTCGGAATTTCTTCACGCATGCAACGCGCTCGTTCCTCCTTCCGTCCGCGGTTCATTACATGAGCTTGCCCATCGCAGGCTGGCTATTGTACAGGCGGCCTGGATTAGTACGTCGACCCTGCCAGATCAAAGGTACCCTCGTGTCCTGTGTCTTGCGAGCAGTGCCTCCTACATTTCTGTTGCACCGTGGCCCTCGGAAGGGTCATGTGTCCTCTCGCGTGTCCTCTCCATTCAAGTCCGACTGTAGTTTTCCGGGTTTGCTTGGCGACGTTTTGATTCGCACAGCGGTCGAGGCCGAGTCCGGCGAAATGTTGTGATCGCGTTCAAGAAAATGCCCACCACCTCCTTGGATGGCGCCAGCGTTTGTACAACCTGTGTGTTGTCGTGGTTTTGCATGCCGCTTCGCTAATGCCCTTGGAGTGCGGACAGATTGTTTCTGCGAGTCCGTCCGTCAGTCTGACTGTCTGTGCGTCTGATTGGTTGGCAAGCGGGATGTGGATCCGCATCCATTGTATCTAAGAGTTTCGGGATCCCTTTATGGTGGTTATGGACTTTCGGCTGTACTTCAGTTTGCCATGCATGTCCACCGCGCGTCGGCCTTCTGGTGCCCCTGCCCAAAGCACCCAAGACGCAATGGATGCGGACGTGTCCTGCGGGCGTCCGCGGATGATCCCAGGCTGAGTCCAACATCGCAGATGGACATGGGCATAAATCTTGCCCGTATCTCTGTGTGTCTGTCTGTCTGTCCGATCCACGGTTGGGGGGTCAAACGCATGATCCTGGGATCCGTCCTGGGTGGTGTTCCGGTAGGACACTCCAACGGATCCCAGTCGTGGCCAAGCGGCGACGAGAACGCTCCAGGAGGCTCCAGAAAAAGGCCCCGGAGCCCCTCCCCAGACATCACACCTCGTCTGTCGATCCTCGAAGTTTGATCCACGGGCCTCTCCACCTCGATTCGTTTTCTGTCACGGTCGCAGGGCCCGCGGAAGGCACCCACTTGCCCGAGAGTGGCGAACACATAAGTACCCGCATCTTTCTTGCTGGCCTTTGGATTAAGGTTGGAGGAGAAAGTCAAGGATGAATACCATGATCATGATGATGCTGCTGCTGATGATGATGATGATGATGATGATGATGGTGATGATAACGGTGATGCTGGTGATGATGATGCTGATGAGGATGTTGATGTTGTTGGAGATCATGATGATGATGCTGCTGATGATGATGGTGATGATTATGATGACATTGATGATGATGTTGA